ATTCGTGGAAACACGAGAGGCACAGCGGCATAAACATTAGTTTAGTTGAAGTAAGAGTTTTACGGCACTTGCAACATAAAAAGGTCATATAAGTGCCGAAGATAAGAGGTGTTTTAATAGGGGGTAACGAAAAGGAGGAGATATACGACGATATGTTTGATAGAAAAGTTGGAGCAAACCACACCAAAGCACCCGCCAAACACCCACAACATAACGATGGGATTTTAAAAGACAAATGATAAAACAAATGCTAAATATTTTCGTTACAATTTAACGCCACCAGTCAATATCCCGAGATGCAGAGCTTCAAACGTGGACAATGCTCTAAGAAACGACAGAGCATTAAAAATTAATAAAGAAAAGAACGAACTCCTTATGATGGATCGTGTTCAGCATAATGGGGAACCCGCTAAAAACTATTAAAGAGACAGCCTTACAGCGTTAATCTCCACTGGTTCCCATGGAAACATTGTTGAAATGAGAAAAGCAACCGTTAGCCACCCCCACAAACACACATGGACAATAAAGAGCGTGTTCTATGGACAATAAAGAGCGTGTTCTTCCATTAGTTTTTGAAAAAGTTTTACGGCACTTGCAATGTCACAATCACTGAATCACGTCGCATACGAGCAGAAGATTAGAGGTATTACAAGAAAGCAACAAACACAAAAAAGAAATAGAGATAAGGGTTATAGGTGTTCGATAGAAAAGAATGAGCAAACCACACAAGAGTACCCTCAAACCATCCATTTTACGTGTACTTCAGAACGACTGAATGAAACCAGAGGGAGGGCCATCTGTGTATCTCAGTGTGCACCAATAGAGGGGCATGAGGGTTTGCATGTCTATTTGAGAGTGCGCACGTTCGTGTCAGAGTGTGTGTGTGTGTGTGTGTGTGTGTGTGTGTGTGTGTGTGTGTGTGTGTGCAGGCGCCTGCGTGCTCTCACGTGCGTGAAAGTGTGCATGTTTGCGAGCGTGCGCGAGCGTGTGCGTGATTGGAGGTGCATTTGCGCATTTATATGTGTCCATGAGTTGGCATGTGCGTCGGGTAATGGGCAAATACAATAAAACTAGCCAAATCGACGAGGAATCAGCTAGAGCACGTGGGCCACAAAGGACTTTCCAAGATCAATAGATAAAACAAAGAAATATTCTCGTTACAAATTTAATGCCACGAGTCAATATGCTCTATATCAAGTTTCAATACTAGCAGCAGATAGATCTCATCCTATACTAAACACTCCCCCCTCCCTCTCCCTATGCCAATAGATGCTTATTGACATGAAGCCGGACGGAATACAGAACAGGGCCACAGGATCAAACTGAAACATTTTATTGGCGCCGTCGTCCTCCCCC